CAGCAGCACCTTCACCCACTGAGCTACCTTGCTGTCCTCAATGATGCTTTCAAGACAGGCCTTCATTTTTGAGCCCAAGCTGGTCTTGAACTCACAGTCCTCCTGCTTTAACCTCTCCAGTGCTAGGTTTACAAGCACTTGCCTCCATGTCTTAATAGTTTTAGGACTTTTTGAGGAGCCTAAACTATCTTTAAAAATAGTAAGATGAAGCCAGTCATGGTGGTGCACATCTTTAGTCCCAGCACTCGGGAGACAAAGACAGGCCGATCTCTGTCAATTCAAGGCCAGCCTGGTCTACAGAGTAAGTTCTAGGACAGTCTGAGCAGACAGAGAAACCCTGTCTCAAAAAAAAAATAAAGAGTGATATAGGGGCTTCGAAAAGGACCAGTGGGTAAAGTGTGTGCCATGCAAGAACGAGGATCCGAGTTCAGATCCTGGCACTTACGTAAAAGCCAGGCGTGGCAGTGTGTGCTCGGGAGGTGGACACAAGGGCTTGTGGCCAACCAGTCTTGGCCAAGTCAGTGAGTTCTAGGTTCAGTAAGAGACCCTGTCTCAAAAACTAAGGTGGAGGGGTTGGAGAGATGGCTTAGGCATTAAGAACACTGGCTGCTTCCAGAGGAGCCAAGTTCAGTTGCCAGCACCCACATTTGATGATTCACAATCACCTATAACTCCAGCTCCAGGGAATCCAACAGCCTCCTTTGGCCCCCTGGGGCACCCACACATAGGTTCACATATCCACACCGAGACACAAATACACAGAACTAAAGTAAAATCTTTTAAAAAGAAAAGAGTTGTTGAGGAAGATCTCTGTGGGAGGGGGTCTAGCCAGTGTGACACACACTCACACAGGCAGGTGTGTATGCTCCCATGCACATATTTTTTTTAAAAGATGGTTATGGCTGGTGGTGGTAGTGCACGCCTTTAATCTCAGCACTCAGAAGGCAGAGGCAGGTAAATCTCTGAGTTCAAGCCTGGTCTGTAGAGCGAGTGCCAGTACAGCCAGGTTGACACAGGGAAACCCTGTCTTGAAAAGACTGAAAAAAATATTTTAAAAAGAAGACGGTTCATTTTGAAAATAAAAACACAACCACAAACAACTTTTTATAGTTCCACAAAATAACAGATGGAGAAGAGACATCGTGAGCCTCCGGTGAGGAGAGTGAGGAGAGGGACCATTGACTAACTACAGAGGACAGCTCCAGTGATGGTGGGACTTCACCTCAGCCTACTCTCTCGGTCTCATGGTGTTGAAGGTAGGTGCGTGATCGACTCTAAAGAAGCAGAGACTGGACCCAGTCAGCTGAACTTCTTGGGAGAGATGAACTTGAGTTACCTTTGTGTGTGTATGTTGTATATGTGTGCTTGAGTGTACACAGGTACGTGTGTGTGTGTGTGTGTGTGTGTGTGTGTGTGTGTGTGTGTGTGGTATATGCATGCTTAAGTGTATGCAGGTACACCAGTGTGCATGCATGTGGACACCAAAGGTTGCCTCAGCTGTGGTTCTTCAGGTGCCATCCACCTTGGGTTTTGTTTTATTTGTTTCTTTGAGACAGGGTCTTTTGCTTGCCATGAACTCAGCAACTATGCCACATTAGATGGCCAGTGAGCTCTAAGAATCCTATCTCTACCTCCTCAGTGGTGGGGCTATAGGTGTGTGTCTCCACACCTGGCTTTAAAAAATTTAAAAAGGGGCTGGAGAGACGGCTCAGAGGTTAAGAGCACCGACTGCACTTCCAGAGGTTCTGAGTTCAATTCCCAGCAACCACATGGTGGCTCACAACCATCCCTTATGAGATCTGGTGCCCTCTTCTGGTGTGCAGATATACATGGAAGCAGAATGTTGTATACATAATAAATAAATAAAATTTTTTAAAAGTTTTTAAAAAATTAAAAAAGAAAAAAGAAAAGAAAATGGGTCCTGGGGATTGAACTCAGGTACTCATGCTCATAAGACAAATACTTTCCCATCTCTTGGACCCATCTCTCCAGCCTCAGAGCTTCAGTTAGTCTTTAAAGGGGACTAGAGATGTGACTCAGTGGCAGAATGGTTGCTTGGCCTCTACAGATACTTCAGGCTCCTCAAAAAAAAAAAAAATCTGGATGCAGTAGCATATACCTATACTCTGCAGCAGGAGGAGTTAGAGCAGTGGTTCTCAACCTCCCCAATGCTGTGACCCTTTAATATCTTTCCTCATGTTGTGGTGACCCCCCCACCCTAAAATTATTTTTGTTGTTCTTTCATCACTGTAATTCTGCTACTATTGTGACTCTTTTTTTGTGACCTCCGTAAAAGTGTTGTTCAACCCCTAAGGGGTCATAACCCACTGGTTAAAAACCACTGATTTAGAGTCTGAAGCCGGAATGGACTCTACAGTGAGACACTGTCTCAAAATTATCAAGGGGTAGGGATGCCATGCAATGGTAGAACACTTGTCTGCCATTCAGATGCTTCCATCTGAAGCATCATAAAATATGATGGTGGTGATGGTGGCAGTGATAACGGGGTGATGATGAAGATGATGATGAAGATGGTGATGTGAAGGAAACTGTTAAGGCATGAAGGTTGAGAAGAGAAAGAGAAAATGCATAATATAGTTGACACGACCTTTGGTAGCCAAATGTGGAGATGGATCAATTCTAATAGTTTGGGAGGTAGTGAGTAGAACATCCCAGCTGAAACTGATGGTCACAGTGATGGAAAGTGTCAAGAAAATGTTTAGGGAGGATGCAGCAGAATCTGGAGTAATTGGTGTAGGGAAGGGTGAGGCCAGGGGCTCTCTGAGGCCACAGGGCTGGAAACGCAGGCCGGGGAGATAACCAAGGGCCTGTGGGAGTGCAACACAAATGTGTGAGGACTGATCCCTCAGCTTTCAGTAATCCAGCAAATAACACAACTATATCTCAGACTGTCCATCCCAGAAGGCTGAGGTTAGTAGTGTTGCTGTGGCAACTGTAGCTTCAGAGAGTGACATCCAGCCTATAAGTCCAGCATCTTTGGAGGTTGAATAGAACTTTTCCAGACAGTCTAGAAGGGTCTCTGTGTCTGTCTATCTCTCTGTCTCTGTCTCTGTCTCTGTCTCTCTCTCTCTCTCTCTCTCTGTGTGTGTGTGTGTGTGTGTGTGTGTGTGTGTGTGTTTATTTTGTTTTGTTGGCAGTGCTGGAGATAGCATCCAGGGCCTCATGCCTGCTAGGCAGGTGCTCTACCACTGAACCACACCTCAGCGCCTCAAAGGGGGATTCTAGATGATTTCTATACAGAAGAGTTATCAGCTCAGCCTAAAAATTTCCAGATAGGCAATATGAGGTCCCAGGGGAATCCAGAAAGAAAATAGCAGGTAGAAAGATAGGGAGCAGGCGGGAACAGAGACCATCCAATAGGGTCACAGTGCAGAGAGGAGACTGATGAGCAGTGAGGCTGGCCTCAAATCATGAAGGGTGATGAGAGAGATGAGCTGAGGGAAGTAAGTTCATCCTGAAAACAAGGATGAGATAATGAAGCAAGGACCCGACTTCTGTTCTTAATTAAAAAACAAAAACAAAACCAAAAAACAACTCACTACAGTTGGTAGTGAAGTCATTTAGAAGGACAACCAAGTGTGGTGGCACACACTTAGCACGTGGGAGGTTGAGACAGGATCATGAATCTGAAGTCTGACTGGGCCACATACAGAGACCTTGTCTCAAAATAAAATAAAAATAAAATGTGAAGAGTCAGCAAAGTGCTTGTTTGCAAGCATGAGGACCTGAGTTCAAGTCTTAGAACCCACATTAAAGAACCACACATAATGGCACATGCCTATAATGCCCAGGATGGGGGAGCTAGAGATAGGAGGATGTCTGGGGCTTACTGGTCAGGCAGTTTAGCAGAATTTCCAACTCCAAGGTTCAATGAGGGGCCCTGTCTCAAAAAAATAAGATAAAGGGGGATTAAGGAAGTCACCAGATGTTGACATTTGGCCTACACACACACACACACACACACACACACACACACATATATGTATACAAACACAAGCACATACAGTCAGACTTTAAATCGTGCTTTAAAAGAGTCTTACTGGGAGTGAATGGACCCACTAGAGTCAATTGTGACTGTCCAGAGAAAGACAATGGAGGTCTCTAGATAGAAGGAAATGTGGAGAGAGGTTCCTTTGGCAGAGTGTGGCCCCTCATTTTACTCAAAGGTGCTGGAGAGAAAATTGATCCAGGACTACCTTTTTCCAATCCTGTCCAGAAGGGAGGTTTGACTTGAAAACCATGAGTCAAGTCAAAATAAGACCAGATGGAATTTGGTGTGTGAGTGCAAATGCTTTCATGGGTGGGGGGGCAGGGGGCAGCGGCGGGGGGGCGTGCTTTGAACACAGAGCATGGAGCACAGAGGAGGGCTCAGTCCTGGGACAGGTTTAGTAGTCACTATGGCTTAATCCATATACACAGGGCTATTGCTCATAAAGACCCTTGGCTGTTACCAACCTCAAGCTCTCTTGCTGGCACCAACACTGGGCAGCTCACAATAGCCTGTAATTCCATCTCCAGGAGATTCAGTGTCCTCTTCTGACCCCCACAGGCATATCACATATAGATACATATAATAAAAAAAATAATAAAACGTACCATCACAGGGCAGGATATAGAGAGCTGACACGGAGTTCTTGGGTCCAGGAGAAGATAAAGGCACACGGACCTTGGGAGGAAGATGTCCACCATGATGCTTCTCTCTCGTTTGTCCTCCACCAGGCCCCAACTTGAGCCATTGGTCTGAGCCCAACTGGACCGCACCGCAGGAATTTGTTATCCTAGGTTTCTCAGGGTGGCCTCAGGGCCTCCGTGTGCTGCTGTTCTCTCTCCTCTTGCCACTCTACTTGGCCACCCTGGCTGGGAACTTGCTCATTCTGGGCCTGGCCCTGGCAGAACCTACTTTGCACACACCCATGTACTTTTTCTTGGGCTCACTGTCTGCAGTCGAGGTGGCTTATACGCTGGTACTCACTCCGCGAATGCTGGCTGGATTCCTCCTGCCTCCCGGTGGCCAGGCGGTGGCGCCCTCTACCTGCGCAGCCCAAATGGGGCTATTCGTGGCTCTGGGTGGCTCGGAGTGCCTGCTGCTGGCAGCCATGGCCTTGGACCGCTACCTGGCTATCTGCCGCCCTCTCTACTACCCTCAGCTCATGACCACTGGGCTTTGCTGGGCCCTTCTAGCTTCCTGCTGTTTGGGTGGCTCTGTCCTAGCCTTAGGCCTCACCACTGCTATATTCCAGCTGCCTTTCTGCCATGGTGGCCTTGTCAATCATGTCTTCTGTGACCTCCCAGCTGTGTTGATTCTGGCCTGTGGGAACCGGGACCTTCAGGAACACGTGTTACTGGCAGCCTGCATGCTTCTGCTGGTGCTACCCCTAATCCTTATCTTGCTGTCCTATACCAGGGTACTGGTGGTCATCCTGGGGGTGGGGGATGGCGCTGGCCGCCGCAAGGCCTTCAACACGGTGGCATCCCATCTCACAGTGGCCGTGCTCCACTATGGCTGTGCCACAGCCATGTACGCCAGACCCTTGAGCAGCCGCTCCCTGGAGGAAGATAAGCTGGTATCCCTCATCTACATAAACCTCACACCCCTGCTGTACCCGGCCATCTACACGCTGCGCAACCGGGACATGCAGGGTGCCCTCCAACGGGTAGTGAGCCAGAGGACGATGGGGGTGGTGCAGCAAACTGATGTTGTCTAACTATGGATGCCTCCTCCCATCACCCGCCAGATGTGAACTTCAGACCAGCAGCGCTTCTTTCTGCTCACCTTCAGAATGACATAGCTCTTTGCAGTGGGGGTACATGTTTAGCAGCACCTCGGGCTTCCACTCACTGGATGCCGGTGGCATCCGCTGTCTAAGTTGTGACAACCAAAGAAATGTTATTGGAAAGCAGGTGTGGAGCTCACACCTGTCATTCTAGCCCTCAACAGGCAGAAGCTGGAGGATCAAAAATCCAAAGCCAGGATGCACTTACACAGGAAGACCATGTCTGAAAAACAAAACAGAAGCAACACCAACAAATTTGGGAGTGGTGGCTTACACCTGCAATCCTAGCACTTGGGAGGTGGAAGCAGGGGTTCAGGGTCAACCTCATGGTTACATGGAGGCTAGCTTGGACTACAAGAATCACTGTCTTAAAAATACATAAAGGGCCAGGTGTGGAGGCCCATACCGTCAACCCCAGCATTCAGAAGGCAGAGGTGCTGGGTGGTGCACACCTTTAATTCCAGCACTCGAGAGGCAGAGGCGGGTGGATCTCAGTGAGTTCGAGGCCAGCCTGATCTACAGACTGAGTTCCAGGACAGCCTCCAAAGCAATACAGAGAAACCCTGTCACGAAGAAAGAAAGAAAGAAAGGGAAAGAAAGAAAGAAAGAAAGAAAGAAAGGGAAAGAAAGAAAGAGAAAGAAAGAAAGAAAGGGAGGAGGAGGAAGAGGAAAAAGAAGAAGAAGAAGAAGAAGAAGAAGAAGAAGAAGAAGAAGAAGAAGAAGAAGAAGAAGAAGAAGAAGAAGAAGAAGACGACGACACGACGACGATGACGACAGAGGCAGGTGAATCTCTGTGAGTTTGAGATCAGCCTTGTCCACATAGCAAATTCCAGTCAGGGATATATAGTAAGACCCTGTCTGAAAAAAAAATGGGTTTTTTTTTTAAACTTTCAGTGTCCTACTCCTTTTTTTTTAAAAAAAGATTTTATTTATTTATTTATTATGTATACAACACTCTGCTTCCATGTATATCTGCACACCAGAAGAGGGCACCAGATCTCATAAGGGATGGTTGGGAGCCACCATGTGGCTGCTGGGAATTGAACTCAGGACCTGTGGAAGAGCAGTCAGTGCTCTTAACCTCTGAGCCATCTCTCCAGCCCTGAAAAAAAATATGTTTAAGAAAATACAGAAAGAAGAGAGAGAATGAAGGGAGGAGGGGTAGAAGAAAGATATTAGTAATTAGTAGAATTAAATCTTTAAAATGTCATTAGATCAAAGGCTCCCCACCCAGGGGCAAAACATTGCTGTTCTGATGCTCCAAGCCCTAGCCAAACAGTAGCTCTCAGACAGAGTTGCAAGATGCTTATAGGAGCATCCTTTACACTATGAAAAGTGGAAGTAACTACCCACAGCTGGGGGCCAGTAAGAGCTCAGTGGGTAAAGCTGCTTGCTGAGTAAGCCTAACAACAGGAGTTCCATCCTCTGGACCCTTGTGAAGATGGATGGAGATAATTAATCCCACAGCATTGTCTGAGCTCCACAAACCCACCAGCGCATGCACACCCCACTCCCATCATGCCCGTGTATGCACAATAATAGTAATTCTTAGAGCCTGTCCTGGAACTCACTCTGGAGACCAGGCTGGCCTTGAACTCACAGAGATCTGCCTGCCTCTGCCTCCTGAGTGCTGGTATTAAAGGTGTGTGCCACCACTGCCCAGCTACAAAATATTTTTAAGCATCTGCAAATGCAGACTATAAATAACCTATTGCATATTTATGGAATATTCAGGTGCAGTATTTGTGGTCCACTACCCAGCAATGAAAAGGAATGAACTGTTATTGTCAGAAACAAAACAAACAAAAAATGTCAACAACACAAATGTAGCGCCAAGTCTATTAAGCAAGACATAGAGTCCATCTGTCATGGACTCCCATGCAGGTGACAGACAGGGGTAATCCTTTGAAAATGGCTGGTGTCCAGAGACTGGTGGGATACTTGGGTTCATAAGGGACATATCAGGAATGTTGCCTGGATGCTAGAAATACTTTAGGGGGGCATGGGGGGATCAGCGAGATGGCTCAGCAGCTGAAAGTGCCTACTGTCAAGCCTGGTAACCTGAGTTCAATGGCTGGATCCCCCACGGCAGAGAGAGACAGTTTCTAAAAGTTGTTCTCTGATCTCTACACAGGTACCCACCCCTCAATCAATCAATCAATAAATAAATAAATATAATTTTAAAGCTCTATCAAGATTTAGACGCACTGAAGACTCATACATCACATTATAGCAAATAAGCTAAGTTGATTCTGATGGTTTGATTAGAGCGATTCTTCACACACCACCTGCGGCTCACACCACCTTGGGTCCCCGGTACCCTCTCTGCTTCCTCCTGTCTGTGCAGAACCTTGTATCAGTCAACATCAGGCCCATTATTACCCTCTCGGGAAGCCCCACTTCCCTTCTATCATAACCACTGTCGTCTAAAGTCTGTCTCAGAGCTGGGGAGATGGCTCATCAGTAAAATGCTTGCTGTGCAAGCATGAGGACCTGGAGAAATGGAGACTTCCAAGAACTCAATGGTCAGCAGGCTCCATGCTCAGTGAAAGAGCCTGTCTCAAACACTAAGACTATAGGTTAGTGAGATGGCTAAGGGAGTAAAGGCATTTGCCACACAACTGACTTTGATTCCCCAGAACTGTAAAAGTTGTAAAAGGTAAAGCTATAAGAGGAAAACAAACTCCACAAAGTTGTCCTCTGACTTCCAGATGTATGTAGTGGTGTTAGTGTTCAGGCATCTGTACTGGGCTGCCCTTGGGGTTCTGACAGGATACACCCTCAGCTGCAGCCACTAAGAGAACCACCTGTGCACATTCACTATGTTCCCTTTTAAAAGGGCCCCACCCACCTCCTCTCTTTCTTTCTCTCCTTCTGTCTGTCTGTCTCACTTCCTCTCTCTCTCTCTCTGTCTGCTCATCTTTCCTATTTCCTGCTGCTCCTGTCCCATGAGGCTGGTCTTCGCCCTCCCCTTTCCCCTTTTTAGGATCCATTTCAATAAATAAATAATAAAATAATAATAATAATAATAATAATAATAATAATAATAATAATAAACATCTGCTTGAACCCTGAACCCTGTTGCCTGGCATCTTTCTCTCATGCACTGTTTTTTGTTGTTGTTGTTTGTTTTGTTTTGTTTTTCAAGACAGAGTTTCTCTGTGTAGCTTTGGAGCCTATCCTGGTACTCACTCTGTAGACCAGGCTGGCCTCAAACTCACAGAGATCCTCCTGCATCTGCCTCCCGAGTGCTGGGATTAAAGGCATGTGCCACCAATGCCTGGCTACTGCTTTTCTTAAATTACAACAAGTGGTATGTACATTCAAACACACACATACACAAAGATAATAATAAAATTTAAATTTAAAAATATTTATCCGTCTGTGTAGGTATGTGCTTGTACATGCAAGTGCCCACAGAAGCCAGAACAGGTTGCTGTGTTGGAGTCCCTTGAGCTGGAGTTATAGGCCATTGTGAGCCACCTGATTTGGGGTGCTGGGAATTGAACTTGAGTCCTCCGCAAGAGCAGTATGCACTCTTTTTTATTTTTATTTTATGGTGGTGTGTGTTTTGCCTACATACATCTGTTTAGCACATGCCTGCAGTGCCTGTGGAGTTCAGAAGAGGGCATCAGATTCCCTGTAACTGGAGTTACAGACTGTTATGAATTTCCAGGTGGGTCCTAGGAATCCGAACCTGGGTCCTCTGGAAGAGCAGCCAGTACTCTTAAGAACTGAGCTATCTCTTCACCTTAATTCTTTTTTTTTTTATAAGGAGGCAAGCCACTGAAGAAAATATCCTACATCAACCTCTGGACTCCACACATGCCTGCACAGGTAAATGTCTCTGCACACACACAAATGAAACAATATAATAATCCAATTCAAAATGAGCTTGAAAGATGGCTGCTTTTTTTTTCCCTCTGTGGCTTTGGAGTCTGTCCTGGAACTAGCTCTGTAGACCAGGCTGGCCTTGAACTCACAGAGATCCACTTGTCTCTGTCTCCCAAGTGCTGGGATTAAAGGTATGTGTCACCACTACCTGGCTGGAAAGTGGTTGCTTTTTGTTGTATGGTTTGTTTTTTGTTTTGTTTTTTGTTTTTTGTTTTTTTTGTTTTTTTGTTTTTTTTGTTTTTTTTTTTTTTGTTTTTTTGAGACAGGAGCTTTCTTTGGAGCCCAGGCTAGCCTTGAATTTGCATTCTTCCTCCTCAACCTCCTGAGATTACAGGCAAGCAATACCACATCTGGCAGATAGATAATTGAATGAATGAATGAATGAATGAATGATAAAGGTATTGGAGATCAAACCAAGGGTTTTCTAAGTGCCAGGCAAGAGCCCTATCATTGAGCTACATCCTCAGTTGTTGGATTTTTTTTTTTTTTTTTTTTTTTTGGTTTTTCAAGACAGGGCTTCTCTGTGGCTTTGGAGCCTGTCCTGGAACTAGCTCTTGTAGACAAGGCTGGTGTCGAAATCACAGATCCGCCTGCCTCTGCCTCCCAAGTGCTGGTATTAAAGGCAAGCACAACCACTGCCCAGCTCAGTTCTTGGATTTTGAAAGGGCAGCGTGTATATTTTTTATTTTGACAGTGTCTCATCAAGTTGTTGAACTCATCCTGTTTATTAGATTGGCCTTGCATTTGCAATCTGTCTGCCTCACTTCCTAAGTACCTCTGGGGTAAAAGGCCTGCCCCACCAGCCTGGATATGTTGTTGTTTGTTTGAGAGTCCTGGATGTTCTGGAACTTGCTATGTAGACCAAGCTGGCCTCAGTTCAGAGATCCATCTGACTCTGCCTCCTGAGTGCTGGGATTAAAGGCATGGGCCACCACTGCCCAGGTGTGAAATGTTTATATTATTTATAATTTCCAATTGCTTATTGTGAATTATCACTTACAGATAGAATACCATGTTGACAGAAATTGAGTCCCAAC